GGAGGCCAAGATGGGTGGATTGCCTGAGCTCATAGTTTGGAGACCAGCCTGAGCCAGAGTGAGACCTTGTCTTTTAAAAATAGCCGGACATTGTGGTGGGTATCTATAGTCCCAGCTACTTGGGAGGCTGAGGCAAGAGAATTGCTTAAGCCCAAAAGTGTGAATCTGCTGTGAGCTATGACACCGTGGCATTCTACCCAGGGCAACAAAGTGAGATTCTGTCTCAGATTAAAAAAAAAAAAAAAAAAAAAAAACTGAGGCAAGAAGATTGCTTGAGCTTAAGAGTTGGAGATTGCTGTGAGCTATGAAACCATAGCACTCTACCTAGGGCAACAGCTTGAGACTGTCAAAAACAAACAAACGAGAGGCCTTGAGAATCTAGTGCACTTGATTGGATATGATTATTGAAAAGGCTCTGTCACCCAAGACAGTCTGAGGCTCTGGCAACTTGGAGAACATTGATACTTTAGGTTCCATTAAATATTTACAGAGACGGCTCGGCGCCTATAGCTCAACCGGCTAAGGCGCCAGCCACGTACACCTAAGGTGGCGGGTTCGAATCCCCAGCCCGGACCCGCCAAAACAACAATGACGGCTGCAACCAAAAAAAATAGCCGGGCGTTGTGGCGGGCGCCTGTGGTCCCAGCTACTTGGGAGGCAGAGGCAGGAGACTCCCTTGAGCCCAGGAGTTGGAGGTTGCTGTGAGCTGTAATGCCATGGCACTCTACCCAGGGGGACAGCTTGAGGCTCTTTTTCAAAAAAAAAAAAAAAAAAAATTTACAGAGAGAACAAAGTTTTACTATTTGACAATGAATCCTAGCCAGTGGGAGGGACTCTCCTAAGGTGTCTGGAAAATGGCCTGACTTGATGTAGAGTTTTGGCCTAAGGCGTGGCATAAAAAATTTACACAACTACCCAACCCTGTAAGGAAGAAACTTGATCTATTTTAAGAGCAGAGGGAGTGTTGTTTTCTGGGGAATTTGGGTGAGAGAAGAGTTGCTGGAAAATGGCCTGGGAGAGAGAAACAAGCATCTTGCATGAGGCCCTTCATCAGGAGTCCTTTGGAGCTGCTGAAGCAAAACACCAAAAAGGGAAGTTGCAAAAGGATGCAATAGAGAGGACCCACTTCCAGCCCACAAAGAGCTGTTTGATAAGAAAGCAATCCCTGCCCTCAACAGGTATTTATCAAGTATATACTGGTGTTACACTCTGCTGGATACTGAGGACACAGCAGGAACCAAGCAGATGCTCTTCCTTCTAAAATTTAGATTCCACTGGGCAAGACAAATGAAACACGTATTCAAATACATAATTTCAAATGGAGCAGTATAAGAATATTAAAAGGAAGGGAGTGAGTAGCTACAGTTGTATGAGTAGGAGGGGCCCCTGGGTGGCTCTCTGGGCTCCAGGTCCATCTACCACATCCGCCCCTGTGTAGCCACATACACCTCTAGTAGCATCTGAAGAGCCAGAAATGTTGCATGCTCTAGGGATGGGCCTGGTATGTGACACCAAATCTGGCAGGAACACATTAGTTAATTGAAAAATGTAATGCCCAGCCTGAAATCCCAGCACTCTGGGGGGCTGAGGAGGCAAGAAGATCCTATGAGCTCAGGAGTTCGAGACCAGCATAAGCAAAAGCAAGACTCCCATCTCTACTAAAAACAAAAAAATTAACCAAGTGTTGTGGTGGGCACCTGTAGTCCTAGCTATTTGGGAGGTTGAGGTAGGGGGATCACTTCAACCTTGGAGTTTAAGGTTGCTATAAACTAGGCTGACACCATGGCACTCCAGACTGGGCAACAAAGCGAGATTCAGTTTCAAAAATAAAGCCTTAGGAATAAAGTAAGAAATGATATCCTTCCCTGATGATCACCAGAAACAGGCAGCATAATTCTAATTAACCCAGGCTTGGTAGGAGGTAAGTTTACCTCTTGTTCTACAAAAACACCTAACTGGTGTAGTGGCTTGTGCTGGTATTCTAGCACTCTAGGAAGCTGAGGTGGGTGGAATGCTTGAGCTCAGGAGTTTGAGACCAGCTTGAGCATAAGACCCCGTCTCTACTAAAAAAAAAAAAAAACAAACAAACAAGCTCAGAAAATGCCCATAGCTCAGTGCTTGGGTGCTGGCCACATGCACCGCGGGGCTGGTGGGTTTAAACCCGGCTCGGGCCTGCTAAACAAACAAAAAAAGAGCCAAGTGTTGTGGCAGGTACCTATAGTCCCAGCCTCCCAGGGAGACTGAGGCAAGAGAATCGCATAAGTCCAGGAGTTGGAGGTTGCTGTGAGCTGTAATGCCACAGCACTCTACCAAGGATGACAGTGAGAGTCTGTCTCAGTAAAAAGAAAAAAGCCCAGCATGGTGGCACACGTCTATAGTTCCAGCTACTCAGGAGGTGAAGGCAAGAGGATCCCTTGAACTAAGAAACGAAAGGTCATGCTTTGGCATTTCAAAGTTGGATAGACCCTTTGTAAGAAGGCTATAGTCATAAATATTGTAGTTATCTCAATGGGGTCTCGACTTTGAATTAAAATGACTAAATATTAAACTTTTCAACTTGGAGTAATAAAAGATTTCTAGATACAGATCCCTTATGCTGATAGCTCAACAGGCACCTAAAGTCTGCCTAAGAGAATTGGAAGGAACCCCTTGTTAGGTTAGACTTCTTCCTCCCTTGTGCAAGCAGTGAAAACCAGCGGGAAGCAGTGAAAGTTGGTAGAGGACAGGGTAAATAGACATCCAGTGAGGATCACAGAAGAGAGGCCAGGGTAACCTGAGACACAGCCCATATCTAAACCTCTCTGTTCTCAGGGCTGCTGTGATTTCCTGTGGCTCCCAGTTACAGGCCACAGGAGGCTTTTCCTCTGGAAATGAGAGTGAGAGTAGTTTGGGTTGCTGTCTGACGCTTCTGCCAAAGGTATGACAGGCAAACTAAACTCTAGATTTTTGGGGGACACATTTCTGAAAGTAATGTAAAAAAATAAGAAATCAAGAACCATTGTTTTCTATAATGTTCCACTCAGTAGCCCCAATGTTATTTATTGTACTGGCTTGAAAATGGGCAAATTTTAGAAGCCGGCAATCCCGTGGAGAGTTTCATTTTCATATGATACAGGAAAAAAAAAAAGAAAAACCAGTTTGAATGAGGTGGTGTTTATTAAAAATCATTCTTTGAGAGTCTTAGGGACTAAAAAGGTTGTATGCATTTTATCTATTTGATTTATTAATTAAACTGGGAGTTCAGTTCAATAAACTTGAAATATATATATGCTTTTATAGTTTTATCTTTGTTTTTGATTATAAAAGAAATGTAATTCTGTAACAACAATATCACACTCAAGCACAAAAGGGCATTACTTCTGCTGGCCCTTGTTTCTCTGTTGGAAAAATTCAAAAACTTCAGCAAGAATATAAATGGGAAGAACCAAAGTTTCATATTAGCCTACTGCTCTACAGAAATAATACAAGGCCTACAAACACTATCATTAGTTTTAGAAGAGTGACTGAAAAGTAGAACGGGAAAAAACAGCTGGGAAGAAAAATGGCTTGAGAACCTTGGTGCTCTGGACATTTATTTGGTGCCTGTTAACCTCTTTCACAGGCAGCTTTAACACTTTCTCTGTCACAAAAAGGTGGATTTAGTATGTTCTATAATGTGTCCACTGACCAGAACTACAGTGTATCCTAAAAGTCACCCATAAAGTCAGCAGACGTAGGGAAAATGGGAAATTATAGCTAAATGTAACTTTATTTACAAAATAGTCATTACAAAATTTTACAAAATATTTACAAAATGTTTTCTACATGTTGGCTACCTCTTTGTAAAATTTTATAATGACTATTTTTTTTTTTTT